CCGCAAAAACTCATCATGCATCCAGGGAGGGAGAAGTCTTAGTTCAAAAACTGGGAGGTGTTACGGAAACAGGAACCGCGATGCGAGAAAATAACGCGACAGCAGGCGCCAAAACAGGCCATGCCAGCTGAGTCATGCCAGCGCGGACAAAGAGCGTGCGCTCCTGCTTCAAGCACAAGTGACGCCCACTCACAGGTGCGACACAAATATTCCAGAATTTCTGTCAAGACATCAGAGCTTGGGAAACGATCAACCAACGTGCAGGTCAGGACACCCGTCGTACGCCATTGGCAGGAATGTTCCAGAGACGGTGTGAACGAGTTAAAGAATCTGTTGTTTCTGTTGGCTTTGAATAAATTGGTTGTTTCCAGAAACTGACTTACTGTCTTTTTCCGCCTACTGGTCAAGCGGTTTAAATAGAAGCTGTGCAGATTAAAAATGAGGAATGCTTTTTCAGCCGGGGTGAGACAGTCCTGAAGGCTGTTTTTTTAGATTTGCAGGTATAATGAAGAAAACAACAAAGGTGCATTATGGTAGATATTAAGATGATGACAAAAAAGATATGTGCATATGATAAAGCCAGTTTAGCCAATTAGGCAAGAATTCAAGCAAGGGTCACAGCCGTGGAATCACTCAGCATAAAAATAAATCTGCTAATAGCCCCTCCTTCTCAGGTTTCCGGTTTGGGAGATATAACTGCGCTACCGTCGTTTCCGGTGCGTCGGTACTTCCAACTTCTGCTTCCAGTTCTTGTGTCCGTGCAGTACCTTATGATAGTCATGTTGTAACTTATCCGCTCGTTCTTTCTTTCCGATGGCTACTAGGGCAGCTTGAAGTTGCTCCATGGCATTTGGATCTGCCTCAACGCCATGTAACCAAATGCTCATCATCCGGAAGCCGTGATCTTTGTAGGCTTTAGCGGATTCTATAAAGAAAGTGCAGCACATATATAGGGAGGTAACAATGTTCTGCATGGTATGCATTTGTTTGTATGTATGTGAGGAAAAAGGCAGAATTGGTAGCGAGAAACCGTCTAGCCAACCGATAATAGTGACAGTCATCATCGCATTTGTAGTACTTATGAAAAGATCCCTACTTTACTACGGCTACAAGCAATATTAGTTGAGGTAGCGGCGGATTAGTGGGTTCGCGTTTCGAGGGGTGCACCAGTTGGGGTTGAATATGGCTGATTTATGACGGCTATAAAGCCAGAAAGGGCTATTCCAGTCTCTAACTTAGTTGTGGACCATATTTACTAGCCTGTTAATGACAACACTACAATATTCAGTTTAGTATTATTAAAGGTAGTATTAGTAGCTTCATTACAAGACGCACTAAAGGTAATAAAGGCATTGACATTATAAGTTGTGGTAGTTGTAGTGGTAAAGATATGGCATTGGACGGGAATGAGAAGAGATATCCCGCAACCAACGGGTATTTCCAAGCTTAATGTAAGAGGGTTACCCGGTTATATGCCCTAAAATTAAACCCATAGCCAACCATGAATTTACAATCCTACATCATTTATTTCCCCGACATAGTCGCTTTGCCCGCCACTGCGCCACTTCTGA